CTGTGATTTCCATGGACTGTTCCTGTTATATATTTAATAGACACCACAATAATCTAGGGTTTAAAAAAAAAAGGGAAAAGACCCAAAAAAGGGCGGGGGAAACAAAAAAAAAAAACCATCATCACATGCAGCATGTCGTTTGGTTACAAGTGTTTTAACATCTGCATCTTCAAATAATATTTACCGTTTTCATCTAATATAACTAAAGGCCTCATTTTCATTCTACAATATATATTCAGTTAACATTAGCATTATTTTTCCCCACAAAGTATACTTATATTTATTGTTAACCTTGCATTTCATACCTTCAAACAGAGATCAGAGATATACCAGTTTTCATTTGTTCCCCTATTAGAATTGCTTATCAGCAGCGAAATATCATTATAATAAGTTCTTTCTTTTCACTTTCTATTGTTTTCAAAACTTATCCATTTGTATATTTTATTTTTTCCTATATTGTTTTCTATTTATCTTTTAACCTTGTAAAAAAACTTCTTTAATAAAAATTACAAAGATGTGACTCTGGTGGCGTAGAAGCCTCCCCGTGGGATCCAGACGGCCGATGAAAAAAAACATTAAGATCCTTCTGGAAGACTAATTGAGAAACTCAGCTTGGGGAGGGGGGCAATGAAGGGGCAAAGAGCCACAGCACAAAAACATGCCACCTAGATCCCCGCATATGAAGCTCCTTTGGGGATGGGACCTACAGCCTTCCCCATTAACTGGACCTGGTGGCAGAAGGTTGCAGTCACCGGGGAGATTGTTCTCAATTAAGTCCCATTCCATGTAGAGCTTTAAAGATGACATCCATCACCTTGAATGGGACCCAGAAGCAACCTGGCAACCAATGAGGCTCATGGAACAGAGGTGTAATGTGCACCCTCTAAGGGGTCACACATAATTGCCACATTCTGTACCGGCTGATGCTTCTGGGCACTCCTCAAGGGCAGCCCAAGTATGGCATGTCACAGTTGTCCATCCTGGAGGTGTCCAGAGCAGGAGTGGCTGTGAGTAGCCTCACAGCCCAAAAAGGGTGGCAATGGGTGCACCACATAACGCTGTTGAGAGGCCCCTCTAGCCACAACTGTCACCTACATCTCAGGCAGGAATTGTGAGTCTAGCAGGATCTCCAGATGATGCTCTGCTTCGGTCTAGCAAGGTGAATCCAGCAGTCAGAGCCACCTTATCATTATCTGAATCCTTTCCTTTGCCCATTTTCTGCGGAAATTTTTTATTGATATTCATAAGTGCTTCACATTTATGAAAAATGATATTTTGCATGAGTTCACTACATCCCTGGTTATGTTCTACTCTGCTTCCTTTGGAACAGAAGAGCATGTAGAACTTTTTCTAACCCATTCAGATGGTCATCACATCTGCACATCGCTACGTATCTTCAGGACCAGACCATGCCCAGCTGCCCCCGACTGAGACCCAGAGTCCCTCTGCCTCGCCTTTCACATGCTTGCAGGGATTCCCACCAACCTGCCCACATGAACAAGACGACCACGATAATCAAGATTTCGCCGGCTCGCAGCTGTTGATTTTTGTCTCCCATTTCCTTCATCGTTACTTCATCTGCATAGAGAGGAAGAAAGCAGAGCAGAGGAGAAGGTCATTTACCCACAGGGATTTTGTCTTGATTGATTGATTGAGTGTGCGGTGTTGGTACATTAAGCCAGGAATCTACAACATTATACAGAGTAATGGTTTGGCTGCCTAAGACTATTAGTTGGTTCAGTTTCCACTTGCACGTTATCAAGAGTGCACCTAGTTTCACACACAGAGCTAAGGGGGTTCTGTGGGGGCATCATTGTTTTCCAGGGCTTCTTTCTCCACCAGTTTTCGCCTTGCATCTGGGCAGATTTCTTGCTTCTGCCATTAGTCGCACCAGAATGGTACCTGTATCTACTTACATTTGCATTCTAAGTGGACAGGAGCTGAGGCGAGTGACAGGAGCTCAGCCCACACCTAGGGCTTGAAGTCCTGGATTTGTTGACTTTCTCTGGGGCTACTATGCCTCTGAGAGGCTACTATGCCTCTCATCTCCCCTAAACAAGGGCTAAGCCAAGGGCTAAGCCAAGGGCTGTTGAGAAAATAAACGTAGGCCTCAAAACCTTCTAGGGTAGTTGCAGGAAGTTTGTGGATGCAGCCTAGCCAGGGAGAGAGGGAGACCCTTCAGAGATGTTCACTCCATCTCTGTGCTTGATGCTTTTTGTTCTCCTGGAATTCCAGGAGTTCCCAACCTTGGCAATTTTAAGATGCATGGATGTCAATTCCCAGAATTCTCCAGTCATATTAACCATTCAGATCATGCAGAAGACTACAACATCCATAATTATTTACTTGGCAGGGAATGATGAGGGCTACATGTGGACAGCTGTGGTGAAATATAGTCTGGATTGCCAGGAGGAAGGGACTACATTTCAGAGGCCCAGTGAAGTTGAGATAGTTTGGTTGGGAAAAAGAGGGTCGCGATAGACCCTCCCTAGAAAATGTCAGAGTATATTTAAATAATGAAGCGAGTAGTTGCTTTAGCTTAGTGATATTTCTGTCTATAGGTGACAAACAATAAAGGAAAGTGCTTGGAAATAGGTATTTTTCTTGGTTCTTGGGGCGCAACATCAATTTTGCCAAACTAAAGCATATAAGATATAATCTGAGCATGGGGAGGCGCCATCTTGCCTCTCTTTCTCCTAACCAACCCACTTGGCTGTCAATTGCTCCTGTGGAATGCAGCCCCTCCTTGCTGGGAATCCAGACTACTTTCCACCACAAAAACCTCCAGGTGAAGAAGGGAAGTTCCTCTTGAAGGGCCATATGGTATAACAGTTGCTGAGAAGCTACATAGAAAGGCAGATGGAGACTGCCCTGTCTTCTACTCTTTTATTACACATTAAACATTTTACAAATCAGGACTGACCGGAAGTACCTCAATGAGACAGACAGAAAAAACCATGGGCTCTGAAGAGCCTCATGTAAATTCTGTCTGACAAACTGATGCTGATTGATCTTTGGATTGGAACTTTCCTGGAGGGAAACTGAAGAAGGAGCTGCGTCTCATTAGACCCAGAGGAATGTAACAAGTTCCTCATAGGTTGACGATTAGCTCTCTGAATCGGCATTGGGGGAGGCAGCATGGCTGCCATCAAGTCGGGGGCTTCTGGACTAAGCATTTAAGCAGGAACAGTGTATGAATGGAATGTGAAACCTGGTAAGAAGATTTAATTAACCAACTTTCATAAACCAGAATCTGGAAAAGGCAAAGAACTTTGTGAGTATAAATAATATTGACAGATAGATTGGGATTTTGGAGGAAAGAAAAGAAAGAGGGAAAAAATTGTGGTTTAAATCATTAAGCCCAAAGAGAACTGCTTGTTTTAAACAACTTGGAGACAGAAATGAGGAAACAAAGAATTGACTAACCCATTGAAATACAAACTTTTCAAATTTGGAATTGAAAAGATTGCGTCTTTAAAAGAGATTAACTGACAATTGAAAATTGGGAAAGCTATAAAGGGAAAGAAGGAGAGGAGAAACAAAACTTAAAAACATACCAAGGATACTTACTTTGTTCAATTTTGTTCTAATATACATATCTTAAGCAACTCTAATCAAAGAGAGGTGGAAAGTAACAAGGAAAAAAAATCAAGAAAAAGCACTATTTTCTTCGCTCATAATCCTATCTTATCTGGATTTAAAAATATCAAGCTGTATTGCTGGGAATCATTGAGTTGAAACAATACAGAGCCATTTGCCAGAGGGAAGACAAGAACAAAGAAAGTGAAGTGATTAAGATGGCTTCCCCTTCTCTTCCTCTCCATTTTAGCTGAATGGGAATATAAGCTGGATCAGAATTGTGAAATTAGAAGAAACCTTGGAAAACCTGGAACTTAAATTATAATTAACTGTATAACTAATTGTAATCTTGGAACTGGACATTATGGAAAGGTAGGAATTTTAAGAATTATGTGAAATTATAAAAAATATGCATAAATCATTAAAATTAAGTCTAAATAGAATCTTGAAGTTAGAAACTGAGGAGAGGCAGGAAATGAGGGAAGAAGAGGGGCACGGTAATTAAATGGTCGAAACAAAGAAAAATAAAAAGCAGACTGGATTTGACAGTGGCATAGGGAAAATTGAAAAGGGGGATATGTCCCAACAATAAGGTGACCAGACGTCCCAATTTCAGTGGGACAGTCACGATTTCTAACAATTTGTCCCGTGTCCCAGGGCGTTTTTAAAAATTCCCGATTTTCTGCCTTCATGTTCAAAGCCCAGTGAATTTGCTAAAAAATCCTAACCGGGACAAGACAAAAGACCCCCTGTCT